AAGGAATGTGAAAACAAAAGGTACTTTTACATCTAGCTTGTTTGACTATTTGATGTGATTGAAGTGCAGTTTGGTTCACCTGGAGGTGTAAATGAAACCTCTAATAACTAGGAATCTCCCCTAGATATGAATTAAACCAAATGAAATGAGACCACATAAAAAAAAAGGTGGTCTCAGTTTAATTGGAAGAGGACTGGGTATACTTGCCACTTGGCTGCTCTTCAACCTTTAGCAATGTGAAACCACACAAACTTGAAAATGAGCCACTTCAAGCAGCAAAGTAAAGTGATGTAATGAAACAAGCAGAAAGGAAAATGTCACTTTTTTCCCGTAAATAAGATAAAGTCTAGTCTACTTTCCCTTTATAAACGGTGATTTACAGAGGCAGTATTAAAGCATGAATGTTGGAAAAGCCCCAGGATGTATCCCAAAACTTCTCTGAAAGCACGTTAACCTGCTGAGATGTGTGGTAGTCACATGACTTTGTCATGACCTACACAAGACATAACTTTCAGAAAACTATGAAATTCCCCTGGAATGCATTATTTGCATAGCCAAGGCAAATACATTTGTTCAGGGATATAGGGAAAGGTTAGTATATGCAGAAGATACTACCACACAATGCACACAGAAATATATATTTTGCTGTTAGCCCTATGACCCAACATAGTAAAAGGGTTAAAAAAAAATGCAGATTACTTAATAAATTTCATTTTAATCTGTGGTAAATAAGTTGTTTTCAGAATGTACTGTTCTAGTAGTTTTCAAGGTTTGATTTAGCTCAAATAACACTTTTTAAAAGTTGTTTTTTCAACTCAAATTGTGTAAACTTCTTAGCACATAATATATATACTTATTACAAAAAAAATTTAAACAATAATGTCATGAAAGAAATTTACATCTTTTTCCTAAAAAAGGAATTAACTTGATTAAAAACTTAATAAAATGCTGTTAGCAACATAATGACAATGTATGCACCAATACTATCTAAACTGCCAATCACAAACACCCAAAATAAACATAATCTATGATATTACATCATTTTAGGGTTAATACTTTTTCCTGTATGGATTTCACTGATTAAGTGACATGTGCTGACGAGCTAGATCTCTTAAAACTTTTATAAAATAAGTTATAAATAAGAAAGATTTTTTAAATACTTCTTCAAATTAGTGGATGGTGTTTATAAGATATAATCTAGGATAACATAGTTAAATCAAAATCACATAACTACTATTCATATCACTAATAACAAGGATTATGTTTTTATAATGACATTATTTCTGCAAACCAGTAATTTGTTTATATTTTAATTAAATCAAATATATATACATATGATTTCATTACTTTTTTGGAAGTTTTGAAAATTTTACTTTTGTGTACCTATATTTTTTCTACTCATACTAAATTTTCATTATTTTTATACACCACCACAGCTCAATAGTACATCTATTAATCTTTTTTTAAGTAAAAGTGTGTGTATCTACATCTGTCATCAGTAACAAACATTGTGCTATCAAATGTCATGTTTATAAGTTCCAATCAGCAAATTCAAGAGTTACAGTTTATACAAGTACACTGAATGCTTTTATGGAAGAATAGTTAAGTAAAGTATTCCAATGCTTTCAACATCCAA